GTAATGATGGTGAACACATGAGATAGAGTCCTGCGTGCTGATAGAATGTAACATATCCTGAGTGTAATGACGGTGAACACATGAGATAAAATTACTTAGAATGAAACACATGGAAGATTGTGCGACTGGGAAAATGTGGATGAAATTAATAAATTTCTGTCAATATCAGCATTATAATTGTAATAATAAAAATTTGACATATGTCACTAGAGGAAGTTAAATGGACGGTAAAGGGCACATAAATCTATACTTCTCTCAAATTTTTAAAAATTAAAGGTAAAAAAATCCTTTCTCAATTCTCAATGCTTCCCTTACCTCCTCTACCAATGAAAATATCCGAGAAAAAAAACACCAAAATCCCAGGGACAAAAGAAGGACCAGAAAGGTACAGGGGTGTGTAAGTTAGTTTTGAAGATATCTTATAAGGAGGCTGGAGAGATGGCTCAGCACTGGCTGTTCTTCCAGAGGACCAGGGTTCGAGTCCCAGCACCCACATGGCAGTTCACAACTGTCTGTAACTCCAGTTCCAGGGGATCCAACATCCACATACAGATACACATGCAGGTAAAACACCAATGCACATGAAATAAAATTAAATCACTGAGAATGGTTGAGTTGGGGTAGGGTTGGAGAGGGAAAGCAATGAAAGAGATATCTTGATAGGGGAACCATCATGAGGTTAGGGAGAAATCCCAGGAACCCACAAAGATGACCCCAGCTAAGACTCCTAGCAATAGTGGAGAGGGTGCCTGAACTGGGTTTGTCCTGTAATCAGATTGGTGATTACACTAATTGTCATCATAGACCCCTCATCCAGTAACTGATGGAAGCAGATGCAGAGATCCACAGCTAAGCCCTGGGCAGAGGTCTGGGAGTCCAGTGGAAGAGAGGCAGGAGGGGTTATACGAGCAAGGGGGGTCAAGATAATGATGGGGAAACCCACAGAGACATCTGAACCAAGCTCGTGGAAGCTCACCAACTCTGGACTGACAGCTAGGGAGCCTACATGGGACCGAACTAGGCCCTCTGAATGTGGGTGACAGTTGTGCATCGTGGTCTGTGTGTGGGGTCCCGCAATGGGACCAGGATTTATCCCTGATGCATGAACTGGGTTTCTGGAGCCCATTCCCTATGTTGAGACACCTTGCTCAGCCTTGGTGCAGTGGGGAGGGGCTTCCTCCTGCCTTGATATGTCAGGCTTTGTGGACTCCCCTTTCTGAGGAGTGGGGGGGGCAGGGTGAGCAGGAGGAGGGGAGGGAGAGGGAACTGTGGTTGGTATGTAAAATGGGGAAAAAAGAGAATAAATCATTGAAAAGAAGATATCCTTATAAACAGAAGGGGGTTTTAGGACAAAATAGTGACAGCAATCTCAGGGTTCAGAGAGTGGCTCCTGTTTGATCTGGCAAGTGACACTCCCGCCCCTCTCCCCCTTCACCCCTGCCTCTTCTTCTCCCTCTCCTTTCTCCAGGTCTCCTCTTCCTCTCTCTCCCTCTACTTACCTCCGCCTTTCCCTGCCTCACTTCTCCCACGCTTTCTCGATCTAAGGAGTAGAACTAGAGCTTCATAAGGATTTTACAAAACCAGGTCTTTACCTGCTTCAGATCTAGGAACATAACATTCCTTTTTCCCTAAATAAGACCAAAAGCACTACTGAATCTGTCTGGAATTTCTCTATTGTAAGGAAGCCTAAGAAGGTCAAAAGATGGCAAGAGGGAGCAAGGAAATGGCTCACTGAGTTACTTGCTGAGCTAACTTAAAGACCTGGTTTGTGTCCCCAGCACCTACAAAAAGACAGGGCGTGGTGGCAGGTGCCTGTGACCCCCATGCTATGGAGTTGCTAACAGCCAGTCTTGCAGAAATGGCAGGGTTCAGATTCCTGTGTGAGGAAGACGGACCCCTATCAACAGGAGTGCCTGGCAGGGACTGGGACATCGGTATGCACAGGGCTCATGGGTAAAGTGGGTCTGATTAGGGTAGATTAACATCTATGCAAAATGACTTCCAGGCGGTTCATACTGCTTTGAATCAACCTGACAACCTGCCTGAGTTCAGTGAAAAGGGGAATAAAGACACCCAGCCCTTTCACCCTCTTGGCCTCAATCACTAAGACCCCCTAAGGGGACTGAGATTGTACAGGAGGAACTTGGAGATGTCTCCTCTGGTTCCCCAGGCACAAATAAAACAAAAAAAAACACCTCATCAGGCAAGGGACAACAGCTGAGGGGCAGAGGTATAGCAGATGGGAGTCAGGGACTGACTGGGAGGGCCAGGGCTCAGGGCATAAGAGGGTGAATTAAGGGTGAGGTGGCAGGTCGGAGGGCGTGAGAAACTAGGGACAGCTCGAGTTAGGCAGGCCAGTGTGGCCGTAAGAGCCAGCAGGGCAGGAGCTGAGGAAGGCGGGAAACACCTGGGGTGCAGGCTCACCTGCATTCTGCAGCGTCTCGATGTTTTGGGGTCTGGTCGCCAGCTCCGCCACCATCTGCACGAATTGCGTCCGGGCTTTCTGGTACTGTTCGAACACTGAGGAGAGAGACCCGGTGGAGCCGTCCGGAGGCCCGCGGCGCCAACCCTCCCGAGTGCCCGCCCGCCCTGACCATACCTTGCAGCACCTGCCGCTGGCTCATGGTGCAGCTAGTCCGCCAGGTGCAGCTGGTCCGCAGATAACAGGACCTCCGCCACCTCCAGGCCTGCACTAGGATCCGTTCCTCTGTGTATCGGTCTCCAGGACAACCGACCCAAACCGGATGCAACCGCCATCGAAGGTCGTGACGTCACGGCCAGTGTGAAGGAGGCAGGCACACAGTATGGATACCTCGCTTACAGCGCAGCGCCCACCTAGCTTGGTTTTTTGGTTTGGTTTGGTTTGGGTTGGGTTTGGGTTTTTTTCCACGCCGACGACTGTCAGGAGGACATGGTCCTCTACACACCGACCCAGAGGGGTTGCTGTGGCACCCATAGGTGCGAGCGCTGGAGTGTTGGGAGCAAACTGTAGCGGGGCTGTCAAGAACAACCAAGCATGTAAACCACGTATAATATGATCGATGCGGTATTGTCAATGCACCCTTAACTCAATGTTTTCTTTTTAGTGTACCCCTAGTACATATGACGTTTTTATTTCCTCTGAGGGTTCACAACAACCGAATACTTAATTACCCTCCAGACAGCAAGCAAGCAAGCCTTCCAAGAGAGTCATTGGGAACGCAGAAAAGTAAATAATGTAATAATATCCTACGGTCCAGGGTTACTCTTAATTAATAACAATTTTGTTATCTGCATTTCTTTGGACATTTTATTTTAAAGTTGAGCTTTATTTTGTGGCTGAGTGGCGTAGGGGGAGGGTATATCTTGAGTTCAAAGAAACCCAGTTTCTTTTCCTTATTAAAAAAAGTATTCTTTGAAAGGTTTACACACATATAAAATATAGTGATTTTTAAAACATATACAAAATATGAAATCAATTTTAGACATATTTCAGGTATGTCCTTTTAAGCAAAAGGCTTGTTTGCATTCTCACACAGAACAACTTTGTGTGTGTGTGTGTGTGTACACGCGCGCACGTTTCTTTGTTTGTTCATTCGTTTGTTTGAGACAGGGTCTCTCTCTCCCTACATAGCCCTGATTGCTCTGGAATTCACTGTGTAGGCCAGGCTGGCCTTGAACTCACAGAGATCTGCCTGTCTCTGCCTCCTGAGTGCCACTATGGCCAGCTAAGCAGAACAACTCTTAACTGAGAAAGTCTCCAGTTTCTTTTAACAGTGTGTCTGTACTACACTTAGTCTACCTACCACTGGTTTCTAGCTTCTCTTTGGAAACTGTGTATCGGATATTTCAGTGATGTGTGTCTGATATCTCTCCACCTGAAACCCCAGCCTCCCCAGATGTCGGAGCAGGCCGAACCAGTGCTGCGGAGGGGTGGCGGGACAGGAACCCCGCCATCCTGTCCAGTGCGGGAGCATGCCTGTTTGTCTGGTTCTCATCTCTGGAGTCCTCTACAATAATTGAGATCTCACCCTTATATGAGCTTTCTTGATGAAGTGCTAGTATTTGACGGTGCTCTCGAGGTAGTTGAGGACTAGTGTAAGCCCTGAGGGGAAAGGCTTTGCCAAGGGGAGTGTTACAGCTCTGGGGGGGGGGGCGGGGGCAAGTGTTGTGACACTGCAGGGAAAGGTATCCTGGCAGTTGGGAGCCAAGGAATGCCACAAAGTCACACAGCACAACAAACTCAAAAAATTTATTGGGAGGAAAAAACCCAGGAGGGTGGCTGCCTCTGCTCAGGTGAGAAACAGCAGAGAACTGAGGAGAACATGGGTTCATGTAGCATTTCTTGGAGGTGGAGCTTTTCAGGGTGGGGATTGGTGGGATTTCAAATCCTGAGCTTGGGGCAAGGCCAGGGATTGGTGGGTTTTCACTTTTTTTTTTTTTTTTTTTTTTTTTTTTTTTTTTTTTGGTTTTTTTTTTGAGACAGGGTTTCTCTGTGTAGCTTTGCACCTTTCCTGGAGCTCACTTGGTAGCCCAGGCTGGCCTCGAACTCACAGAGATCCGCCTGCCTCTGCCTCCCGAGTGCTGGGATTAAAGGCGTGCGCCACCACCGCCCGGCTCACTTTTTTTTTTACTCTGTAGGATGTAACTTGGTCACCTGCTTCTGAAGGGGCTGGGTCCAGCCCTTATGACAGTTAGAATGTTCTGTGGGTGGAGCCTGGCAGTTGGAGGTCCTCAGGAGCAGAGCGTGGCCACTCACAAGCCTCCAGGGGCTTACATTCACCCCTTTTATTTTGTTTGTTTGCTATTGATAAATAATTAGGGATTGGGAAAGGAGGCAATGTTATCTCTAGATTACTCCCTGTTGGTTGGTGATATCGAAGTCCTTGGGGTGAACTTGACCTTCACCATCAGGATATAATCCGGCCTCTGGCTCCATAGCTGGGGGCCAGTAACCCTGTAATGGCAACTGATTAAAAGTCTGGTTAGACATCTTTTGGATCTGTTGTTGAAGAAATCTAGACAAATTTATAAGGCAGTGTAAGCATTGCAGCTCAGATGGAAAGATATCCTGGCAGTCAGGAGCCAAGGAATATCACAAAGTCACTGTAAGCATGGCAGCTTACAGGCCTGCTCCAGGGAAAGGTTTCCCCAATGTAACAACTCTGCCCTGGTGGGCCGGGTATGGGGTGGGAGTGGGGGTTCCCCAGTGAAGTTGTTACAGCTCTGTTCAGGTCCCCTAGAGTGTAACAACTCTGCTCACTAAGGGAAGGTTTCCCCAGCAAGAAAGTATTACAGCACTCTGCTGTGGCTCCAGCAAAAGTTGTTATATATAGCTGGGCTTCACTCTGGTGAAAATGTCACACCACACAATAAACTTCACTCAAGAGATTTATTGGGAAGGAAGAATCCTGAAGGGTGGCTGCCTCAGGTGAGAAACAGCAGCAAACTAAACAGGGTACAGACCTTATATAGGTTTCTTGGGGGGAAATGGAGGAGAGCTTTCCAGGGTGGCCTGGGATTAGCTGATTTTGGTGGTCTGACTCTGGGGCAAGCTCAGATATTGGTGATATTCCATGCTCAGGGATTGGTGGGATTCTGTGCTCAGGGACATCAGGGATTGGTGGGATTCTGTGCTCAGAGACATCAAGGATTGATGGGATTCTGTGCTCAGGGACATCAGGGATTGGTGGGATTTCAATCCTGTTTCCAAGTCAGGGTCAGGTTGTTTTTCCTTGACCTTTTTCACCCTACAGGCAGGGCATGACTAGTAGGATTAAGAGAAGGATGCAAAGGTGGAGGGAAGGAGTAGCTAAAAAAGCAGAATCTAGAATTTGGAACCAAGTAAGATTGATGGCAGAAGCCAGCAGAAACAAAAATGAACCAAACATGCCTTAAGAGAGTCAAACCAGCAACTTGAGTCAGTTTGAAATATTGAGACCTGAGCATGGCTGATACATAAGTGTGGCATCCTCTGCCAATTCTACCTGAAGAGAGAGAACTCAGGAAGGGAGGGGTGTCTGGAGACCCTTGTATGTTAGAAGGTGGGACGGGTGGTGAGGAGAGAAGAAAGTAATAGGTGACCCGAAAGTTAACTTCTTGATTTGTGTGTAAAACGTTTGGCTGCAGCCAGAGGTACATTCTTGTATACGAATGCATGGAGATATAGCTTTAATACCTTATTAAACAAGCATTATTTTTAAATCCTTTCTTTCATAAACTGAATCCAGTGACCAGAAGGCACAGAGATGAATTTTGAGCTCTGGCCATCAAAGCAGCCTTAGCAAGCAGCCTTTGTAAGAATCCTTAATTACGTCACCAGCCTGCAACGGCGTCCCAGCCTAAAAAGCAAGCAGGCCTCTGTGCGTCCCTTTTCCCCTTCTCTTTTCTCTCTCTTCCTCCCTCTCTCTCCCCCCCCCCCTCCTAATAAAGCTCTAAAAAGGTAGCCATGGCTTGTGATTCTTCTGATCAGCACTCTCCTCCACCAGCCACAAGTAGTGCTGCTTAACCAGCAGCCTTAGCAGTGGTGACTGGTGGTTGGCAGCAGCAGAGAAAGCAAAAACAAAACCAATAAACACAGAACACAGAAAGCTCACACACTCAAAGAAGACCAGTCAGAAATAAAACATGAGGTGGCCACCATCATTCATACATCCACCTGAGCCTGACCGATTTCTGTCTTGGCTTCATGTTTACAACAAAACTGATGGATACACCAGAAAACATAGACCCATCTGCACATAGAAAACAGACAGACAAAACTTCCCAAACGACCAGAATCAGGCAGGTGGGCTATGTCTTGTGTTTTCCCTGTGTGAGACCAAAATGAGCCATGTTAGAAATAAGACCAAAATGCTTTCACCCAAAAACTAAGGCCTAAGATTTCTCCTTTTAGGAATAGGCCATTAGTTACTGAAACCAGTCAGTTCAGATTCCAGAAACCAGGAAGTGTAAAAGTACAGAGTCACAAGATAGTCACAAGGTAATGCCTGCCAGACTATGGAATGTCCTCTCCCTGATTTCCAGGGTAACTGACCACAGAAATGCCCCCACCTGAGGGCAGCCAATGAGAAATGGTGGCAGGCAACCACTCCCTTAGAAGTAATTTCTAGAAGTCCCTAGAAGCAAGCCAATCAGAATTGTATCCATACCAGCACCCCTAAATGATGTAACCTTGTGACTTTTCCCTTTAAAAGCTGAGCTTGCAGACAGGCAGGCACTTCCTCCAGCCTCCACTGCCTTGGATGTATTGGACGAAGTCCCTGCCTAGGCTTGTATTGCTTTTGGATATCCAGAATTAAACCTTGCTTTTGCATTCCAGCATGCTCGTCTTTGGTGGTCTCTCTGGGGGTCACGATCTGGGTACAACACCTGGATGACAGTGAAAGGGTTTTATAATTGAATGAGAGGGGAGTGATGTTTGTCTGTCAGGGCGTTGGGTGTCCCATACCCATGGACACACCTGGGAAGCTGGTAAGGGAAGAGGTGTGTGGTTCAGAAGACAAGGAGAAGGGGGATGGCTGATGACCCTGGGGTCAAGCAGATGGGGGGAGCAAAAGAAATAGGGGGTCCTACTTTATCAAGAGATCCCTTCCACGAAAGGGAATGGGACAAGTTGGTACCACTAGGATGGGATGGATGAGGGAAATACTCCTAAACATACAGCTTAGTGATGGGGTTTGGTGAGGCTGGAAAGGCTGTCTCCCTTCTCCAACAATAGAGGAATGAGGAGAGGTGGGTACCCAAAAATCTCTCAGGTCCAAAAAGGTGGCCCCAGAGTCAAGAAGAGGAGAAATGGATCATCGTGGTACTGTGTGACCGCACTACAGGGTCCCTGTCTGAGACGGTGGTGGTCGGGCCAAGGCAGCCCGGGCCCTCAGTCGTCAGCAGCCAGACCTAGGGGATTGACTGGAAGGTGATCTGGGCTTGATGTCCTCATGCC